CACATCCCTCCCGCAGGACCCAGTCCCCTCCAGGGCAGCCCGCCGGCAGACGCCCGCCCAGAAGCTGCGGGATGAGCTGCGGCGGCTGCTGGGCGAGAGCTGGTCGGAGGAGCTGGAACGTGATGTGCCCCGCGCCTGGCAGCGGCACGGGGATCTGGTCCTGCTGAGCGAGGACAGCTTCAGGGCTGCGCTGTGGGAGAAGCTGGGTAAGGGGGAGCGGGGTCTGCCTGCCCAGATCCTGCCCACAGAGCTGCCCTGGCCTTTCCCAGAGCTCCCGGGACGGGTGCGTTGCAGGTACGGTGCTCTGGGAGATGGTCGCCTCGGCTCTGGGTGCCCGGCGGCTGGCCAGGCGAGGACGGATATTGCCAGATGGGATGCGGTCCCCCAGTGTCACCCTGCTGCTGGGCCAGGACAGCTGGGTGGAGCATGTGGACAACGGGATCAGGTAGGCAGGAGCCGCGGTGCAGGATGCGGCCGGTGCAGGGAAGGGGCTGCCCTCACCAGGCCGGCGATATCTCCCAGGTACACGTTCGATGTGACCAAATGCATGTTCTCACCGGGCAACATCACGGAGAAGCTGCGGGTGGCCTCGCTGCCCTGCTCCGGGGAGGTCCTGGTGGATCTCTACGCAGGTAACGGGGACAGCGGAGGGATTTGGCAGGGCAGGCTTGCGGAGGCAGGCAGGCAGAGAGCAGTGATGCAGGTACCGATGGCATCCAGGTGGATGTGAAACATCATTTCCAGCCTGGACTGGAAAAATATCCAGGCTTAGAGCCCTGTCTGTGAGCCCTCAGCTAACCTGGCACTGCTGTCCCTCCTGTGTCCCTGTTGCCTTTGGGCACTCAGGATGACCTTGCACTCAGGCTCTGCAGAGCACTGCTCTGTACCTGGTGCTGGTCATGGGAATCACTTGGATCCATGGAAAAGATCTGCCCTTGATACTGTTTCTGAAAAGCTCCCGTAGATGTCCTGAGCCTGTACTGATGCGCTTTCATGGCAAGCTGGCGCTAACTGAAGTGTCCTGTGCTGTGAGATGAGCGGGGAGATCGCATCAGGCGTTTGCACATCAAGAGAGCCGCTGTTTTGTGCTTAGGGAAGTTAGTGCTTCCAATCTGTGCCACACAGAAAGGATGCAGCACTCGCAAAACTGCTCTGGATTAATTAAAATAAATGGTAGTCTGGGCACTTCTGCACAGAGTGGAAACAGGGCAGGGCAGGTCTCGAGCTAATGGCCAAAGACTGAAGGTAAAATAAGCTCTTCTGTAAACGTTTTTCAAGACGGATTTTGCTTTTGCGGAGACGAGGGGGGATGAATTTCCATTTTCCCAGTGTTGGCTTGTTCCAACCTAGAGCAAAGCAGATGCAGAGAGCTGGGGCGGTAATCTGCATCCCTGCCCTGCCTCCCGTCGGTGCCCAGACCCTGCCCTCAGCCGCTGCCACCTCTCCTGCCCCCAGGCATCGGCTATTTCACGCTGCCGTATCTGGTTCATGCGGCAGCTGCCTTTGCCCATGCCTGCGAGTGGAACGGCCATGCCGTGGAGGCCCTGCGGAGGAACCTGGCACTGAACGGCGTGCAGGACCGCTGCCGCGTCCACCACGGGGACAGCAGGCAGGTGAGCAGTGCCGACCGGCCACGGCCCCCCTGGCCCTGCACGGCATCCCCCTCACCTCCCCTCTCCTTCCAGCTGGAGCTGCGGAATGTAGCGGACCGGGTGAATCTGGGGCTGATTCCCAGCTCAGAGGAAGGCTGGCCGGTGGCCTGCCGCGTCCTGAAGGGCACGGGCGGGGTTCTCCACATCCACCACAACGTGGAGACTCTCCCCGCACCGGCCCCACCACAGACCCTGGTCCTGCGGGCTGAGCGGGGGTCTCCAGAGGGAGCCGGCTCTGATGGAGAGGTGCAGCACCCAACGGAGGACAGTGGGAAGGAGACACTGGTGGCCAGGATCAGACCTGAGTGGCAGAGGTGGGCTGAAGCCACGGCGGCACGGATCCGGGGGCTCCTGGCAGAGCTGCATGGGCAGCCGTGGCGCACCAGCATCCTGCACATCGAGGCAGTGAAGTCCTACGCACCCCACGTGCATCACCTCGTGCTGGACCTCGAGTGCCGGCCAACGCTGCCCGCCTAGCTGGCCACGGGCCCCGGCGTGGCTCCAGCTCCCACGAAACGGTGGTATTGGAGCACCGGTGGCAGGGAGATGCTACCGTTGCCTGCTGCCAGCCTGGATGCGCTTCACGTCCCCTCGTTCCCAGGTGGCAGCACTGCCCAGCAGTGCCTCCCCATGACCAGGGTACCAAGGGATGCTCTCCCGCTGGAGATCCCTCCAGGAGCCTTATCCCGGCTGAGGATGGGGGGCGAGCTGGGGCTGAGAGCGCCCCGAGTCCTGCCCCGGCTCTGCCTGTCACTGCCCAGATCTTGGACACGTGGTGGCACTTTAAGCCCCATTTTCACACAGGAGAGAGCCACAGGGCTGAGTAAACCTCGGATTCCTGCCGGGCTTCATTTCAGCGAGTCAAGGGCAGGCTTTGTGCTTATATGTACCAGCGTGCTTTTTTGTTGTACTGGAAACAGGTCTGTTCATCTCGGTTTCTTCTCACCTTTTTGCAGAAATAAGGATGTTTCCCACCTCTCTGGTTGGTGTCCAGTTAAAACGTGAACACTGGTGCAAGCGCGGGGGTCCTGCCTGGGGACGCCGGGTCCCGGGGTGCTGTGTGGAGGGGCTCAGGGAGCAAAGCCTCTGCCTGCATCCTCTGCCCTCAATTCTGCCTGCAAACCTAAAGCCCTCTTAGCCCTGTGTAAGAGAAACCACCTCTTATGCAGCTGTTTGTGTACCCCTGTTGCGGAGAAACCCCTGACTGGGGAGAGAGCTCCCACTGGCCCTTTGGTGTCCCGGGGTCCCTGTGGGTTTTCCCCCGTGTAGGTGTCCCGTCTCCTCCCGCAGGGCTGGAAACCTCTGGCTTTCCCTGTCCTGTGGTGGGGAGCCCCGGGGCGTAGCTGAAAGCGTGGGCAGAGCTGCGTCCTCACGTTTGCTTTGGGGCTGCTCCCAGCGGGCCTCCCACGCGCCCCACTGTCCTGCGTGGCGAGAAGCCACCTCCCCACGGATGTGAGCCCCACGCCTTGTCCTGCCACGTGTGCTCATGGTTTTCCTGTTGCCTGCGCTGCTGTGGGCAGAGTGCGAGGAGCCCTGCCGGGACTGTGTTTCTGCCCACGAAGGACAAGGGCAGAGGCTGGAGCCTTGCGGCAGGGGCCGCCCCCGCCGCGGGGGGGGGCGGGGGGGGCGGCAGCCGCTGCAGCCCTTCGGGGAGCACTCGCACCCCTGCGAGGAGCACCTGCACCCCTTCGGGGGCTCTGCCCCCCCCGCAGAGCCCAGCCCAGGCCCTGGGCCCCGCTTAGCCCCGGGGGCCGATTCCTTCTCACCGTTTCCCCCCCGTGCTGCGGGCGGAGCTGGGAGGACACCACGGCCGTGCTGCTCGGGTCTCAGTCCCTTGCCCGCTGCCGTGCCGGGCACCCCAGGGACCCCGGGAGGGCACCCCAGCAGTGCGGGTGGCTGTAGACCTTGTGCTGGCTTGTGTGTCCCCTTTGGGAGGAGCTGCCTTCCGAGGTAGGGCTGCGGGGAGGCACGGGGGGAGCCGCGTCCGGGGAGCCGGGGCAGAGCGCCCAGCTCCAGGCACCGAGCCGGGCTCTGCC